GAAGGCATGGAATCTCCATATCTGTTAGGGTCCGTTATCAAAGGAACAAAACTGAGACAAGGTGAAAGTTATTTAAAGCTTTATTTTATGACAAGTATTAGAAGTTAGACTGATCAGCCAGGGGAACGAGACTGAGACAAGGTGAAAGTTATACAAAGCTCTATTTTATGCCAAGCATTAGAAGTCACGCTGACCGGCCAGGGCCGCCTCCGAAGAGAGCAACCGCTCCCAGCCTCACAGACTAACTTTTATAGAGCAAAATCCTGGCCACACATAGGTGGCCAAGGAGATTGTAACATTGTATAGTCATGTTAGGCCACATGCAGGTGGCCAATTGAATTACAATTTACCCTATAGTAGCTGTTTGAACTAACCTATTACTCTGGTCAGAATTGGCACTCAAGTTTGGTGCCCAAAAGGCGGGGTTTACATTCTTTGGTGGTTAGGGAGATAGTATGTGTGCTTTACTGATTGGATGTTTTCACCTGGCCTGACTGGTCCTTGTATTCTGGGCTCCGTTATCAGGAACTGGCTGACCTGGTCTTGTATTCTGGGCTCTGTTATTAGGAACTGGCCGACCATATTTTACTGGTTTCCCAGACTTGCTTCTAAGTAAGTTTCTCTGGGTGGGGTGGGGGGGCAGGGTCAGTTTCAGTTTTACTGCACAAACAACAAAATGGCTTTGAACCAAGATGGAGTCGCTCTGGCTAAATAGACCCTTACACTAACCTTTTTCCATACTTTGTCCTCTGTATCTCTACATCTGACTGTTGACTCTTATCCTTTAATTCCTTTAATATCCTTTATAATAAACCAGTTATCTAGTAAGTAAATGGGATTCCTGAGTTTTGTGAGCCACTCCAGCCAATTAATTGAACTGAAGCAATGGTTCTTGGGAACCTCTAATTTATAGCCAGTTGGTCAGCGTGTAGGTACCAACCTGGGCTTGTGATTGGAATTGTGAGTTGGAAGGCAGTCTTGAGGGACTTAGCATTTTACCTATGGAATCTGGTGTTAGCTCTAAGTAGCGGCAAAATTGAGTTGAATTGTAGGCACCCAACTGGTGTCTAAGAATTGCTTGGTGGTGTTGGGGAACTACTCCTGCCACCATGGTGGAACTGGGTTCAGAATACCATTAGAGGTATTCCCTCCGCTTTTATTATTTTTTTAAAGACGATTTTGAGAGGTATAGGTATTCATTTTTCTTTAACTGTTTTGCAGAATGCATCCATGTAGCCTTGTGGTCCTGGGCTTTTCTTTGTGGGAGGCTTTTGTTATTTATTCAATCTCTTTATTCATTATAAGTCTACTCAGATTTCTTTTTGTTGTTGAGTCAATTTTGGTAATTTGTGCTTTTCTAAAACATTTTGCCATTTCATCTAAGATATTTAATTTGTTGGCACACAATTATTCATAGTATTCGGTTATAACCCCTTTTATTTCTATAGGGCCAGTAGTAATGTCTTCATTTTCATTTCTGGTTTTAGTTATTTCCTTTCTCTCTCTCTTTTTTTTCTTAGTTTAGCTAAAGATTTGTCAATTTCATTGATCCTTTTAAAGAACTAACTTTTGATTTTGTTAATTCTACTGCTTTTCTTTTCTTTTCTTTTTTTTTTTTTTAAAGATTTTATTTATTTATTTGACAGACAGAGATCACAAGTAAGTAGAGAGGCAGGCAGAGAGAGAGGGAGGAAGCAGGCTCCCTGCCGAGCAGAGACCCTGATGCAGGGCTTGATCCCAGGACCCTAAGACCATGTCCTGAGCTGAAGGCAGAGGCTTTAACCCACTGAGCCACCCAGGTGCCCCAATTCTACTGCTTTTCTATCTCTATTTCATTAATCTCTGTTGTGATCTTTCTTATTTCCTTCTTGCTGCTAGTTTAAGGTTTATTTTGCTCTTTTGTTCAAGTTCTTCAGGTGTAGAGTGAGGTTATTGACTTGAGATTTTTCTTCTCCACATTCCCCTTTACCCACATTCCCCTGGTCCCCAACGTCAACATTCCATACACCAGTATGATGTATTTGTTATAATCAATAAACCAACATTAACACACATCATTATCAACCCAAGTCCATGATTTACATCAGAGTTCAAACTTTGTGTTGAATATTCCACGGGTTTTGACAAATATATAATGAAATGTATCCACTAGCACAGTACCACACACAAAAATTTTACAGTCCCAAAAATCCCCTATACCCCTCCTGCTCATTCTTCCCTCCCTCCTCCACCATCCCTGGCAACCACTGTTTAGTTTTACTGTCTTTATAATTTTGCCTTTTCCAAAATGTTTTTCATTGTTGTTCTTTGATTACTGCCTTTTTGGAGTTTAATTATTTTGTGATCTGCCATATTGATTTTCTTCTCACTCTCTTTTGTATATATTTTAAAGATAGTTCCTTAGTAGTTGTTACCATGGGGATTACAGTTGGCATCTTTAATTTTTAACAATCTAGTTTAGATTGATATCAAATTAATTTCAATAGCATGTAAAATCTTTGTTCCTATACAACTCCATCCCTGCCCTACTTTATGACATATTGTCAAAAGTGACATCTTTATACATTGTATGTCCATTAACATAGATTTATAATTATTATTTTATGTATTTATCTTTAAATCACATAGGGAATAAAAAGAAGTGCTGCAAACCAAAAATAGAATAATACTGAGTTTTATATTTACCTGTGTAGTTACCTTTACCAGATTCCTTTATTTCTTTCTAAGGTTTTGAGTTGCTGTCTAATGTCTTTTCATTGCACCCTGAAGAACTCCCTGAGCTTTTGGTTACCTTAGAACATCTTAATTTCTCATTTGTTTTTCAAAAGACAGTTTTGCTGGATATAGGATTCTTGGCTGAGAAATTGCTTTTCTTTCATCACTTTAAAAATGTCATCCCATTCCTTTCTGGCTTCTGTGGTTTCTGAAGACAAACTGGCTATTAATTTTTAGGATGCCTTATGCATGACAAATCATTCCTCTCTTGCTGTTCTCAAGATTTTTCTCTAGTTTTTGACAATTTGATTATAATGTGTCTCATTGTGAATCTCTTTATGTTTACCCTTCTTGGAATTTGTTAAGCTTCTTGGATCTATAGATTTGTAGCTTTAATCAAATTTGGGAAGGTTTTGGCCATTATTTCTTCAAATATTCTTTCTGCTCTCTTCTTTCTCCTCTTCTTCTAGGACTTTCATTACCTCTATTTGGTTCATTTGATGGTATCTGGTCTCTTAGCCTCTGTTCATTTTTTTTCTTCTTCTTTTCCTTCTTTCCCTTCCCTTTGTTCTTCCCCTTCCCCTCCTCCTCCTTTTTCTCCTTCTTATCCTTCTTCCCCTTCTCTTCCTTCTTCATCCTCTTCTTCTGTTCCTCATACTGAATGATTTCAATTGACTTATCTTCCAGTTCTGTGATTCTTTCTTTTGCCTGCTCAATTCTACTATTGAAAGCTTCCAATGTTTTGGTTATTATATTTTTCAGCTCTTTTTGTTTCTCCTTTATAATTTTGTTTTCTTTTTTCTTAAAAAGATTTTATTTATTTATTTGCCGGGGCCAGGGTAGGGTGGTGAGGGGAGAGAGCATGAGCCGGGGGAGCAGCAGAGGAAGAGGAAGAAACAGGTTCCCTGCTAAGCAGGGAGCCCGATGTGGGGCTTGATCTCAGGACCCTGGGATCATGACCTGAGCCGAAGGCAGACGCTTAATGACTGAGCCACCCAGGCACCCCTCCCCATTATAATTTCTATCTCTTTTTTGATAAATCCCTGCTCACACATCATTCTTCCTCTTCTTCATTTTTTAGCTACTTCAGCATATTTAAGACAGTTGAGTTGAAGGTTTTTCTAGCAAGTCCAATGTCTGTGCTTCCTCAGAGACAGCGTCTATTAATTTCTACAATGACTAGGCCATATCGTTTCTTCACATGTTATACATATTTTGTTGAAAACTAAATACTTTCAATATTATAATGTGGTAACTCCAAAAACTATATTATCCCCCTTCTCAGTGTTTATTTTTGTTGCTTGCTGTGGGCTGTTGCTGTTGGTTTAGTGATTTTTCTAAATTGTTTTTGCTGTCTTTACATGCTCACATGTTGTCTTTGAAATCTGTGCTCCTTTAGCTTGTGTTCAGTTAGTGTTTTGAAAGAGTCCTGTAAAACAGGACTGGGAAGGGGGAGAATAATATTTCTTCTGGTCTTTTCAGATTGGCTCTATTGAGGGGCACCCTTTCAATGATTAGCTAGACCATTAAAAGGTGGTGAAAGCTTGGAGTCTTCTTGGGCCTTTTCTGAGAATGCATCCTGTGCTGGCCATGCACCTAGCTTTTTAAATCCCCCAGTATGCAGAGGCATTTTTGAATCCCTAATTTCCCCCAAGAAACTCTTATAGCTTTTCCTATTTTTGCAATTCTTCTATGAGTTTGAATTTATTTCAAAACAAAATTTAAAATAAAAAAGCATAGATTTTGAGGTCAAAGAGGCCTGCCTTCAAACCCAAGCTCTACTACTTGTTTGCTGTGTAGTCTTTCACAAGCTATTTTCATTGGGCTTCAGTGTTTTTATCTGCACAATGAAGATTATAATACCTATTTTAAGAGTAACATTTTCTTTGCACATAGTGGATGCTTAATAAGTGGTAACTATTATTACTGCTATTCATCATACCAGGTTCATGTTCAGCAAAAAGTCAATCTATTGCTAGATTTGGCACAGGGGCCAAAGATTTCTGATAGCTTTAAAATATGATAATTCTGAATCCTACTTTTCTTATCATGCTAGATAATGAAAAAACACTATAATTGCTTTGGATCTTAACATTTTAAGAAACTGGAAGGAAGGCAAACTAAGACAACAGGTTTAGGGATAAATCTGAATGTGTTCCTGGAGAATCTCTATTGTAACAGGAAAGATCACTTCAATAACATGGAAATTAACCTAAATTAAGAAACCTAAAGTAAAAATAATAGGTAATACAAAAAGAAGTTGCCATTAAAACAATCTAGCATACCTTAAGATTAAGTGCATTTCTTCCATATATTTGACAGTTTACTATGGCAAGGTTGGTCATGGCTATTATTGTTTCATATCGTGTTGCACTGATAGTCTTAAGACCTCCACCACGTATGAGATGTACCTGTGATTCCTCTTGTTTTCTAGATTTAACAATACCTAAGTAAATAGAAGAAAACATGAGACTCAACTGTGTTAGTACTTAGAATGAAAGTTAAAAAGTATTGATATGATAATAGTGAATCATCATAAATAGGTTAGCTGTGTAAATCCTCTGGAAAAGATTCTTCATAACCTTCCCCCACCCTATCTCACCTTGTTGCTAAACTAGGTGTTGTTGTTGTTGTTGTGTGTGTGTTTTCCACATATTAGATAGTACAATTGCCTTTCAAAAAGAAAACCATATGCTTATAGATTTCTATCTAGATAAGTTAAATTCCACCAATCTCAGTCTTTTTGTGTTGTATGTAAAAATATATTTTTTAAATTTTATTAATTTACATAAGGAGCTTCTTGCTTCATAAAACTAATAAAGGACATCATATAATCTAAGTCAGATAGAGGTCACCTCCTAAGGAACAACCTTGCTTTTTCTCCTAATACCATCTTGATGCATTTTTCAAGTGCATATGTAATTCAGCTTCCTTCTCTCAGTTTGAAGACCCCATACAAGAAGAAAAATCCAAACAACTCAGAAGTTAGCCTAACAGAGATCATCTAAATTTACTTTATCATGACCCTTGTGGGCTTCACTTTCTATCAAAAATGTCCTATCCAAGTATACACCTAAGTGCAGCAGGAAAATATTGTGAAATTTTGTAATATAAATTTTATATTCATAGCCATTCTTGCTGCATTATTTGCAGCAACATATTTTACAACCTCAGTAATTCTTTTTTTTTTAACAACCTCAGTAATTCTTATGCCATTGCTTCAACAAAAGGAAATAATGCATCTTAGACCAGAGAAAACAGTGTTCAGTTTCTATTTATAAAATGGGCCCTGTGTGCCCATTTCAGATCAATAAGTGTAAAAGTTAACTGCAGCAGAAAGATGTGTGATATGATAGAGTCCTTGTCTTGGGAGAAAGTGGAGCAAGAAGGAAAGGAGAGTGAGTTAAGACCTAAGTCTGTGGCCTGCTCCCAGCTCACCTATCCTCATGGACTAAGTCCAAGCCGTTGGTTTTTGAGTGGAAATGAAGGATATGGAGGTGGAGAGATTAAGTATAAATTCCCTGATGGATCTCTGAAGGATCTGAAGACCATTAAACTCACACCTGAAACTTTTCAAAGAAGGAACCACCAGAGTGGGACAATCTCAACAAATCAGAAGTAGCAGCATGCCTTGTTTCAGCTTATGATGTGGAGGAGGCTGAGAAGTTAACTGATGTCACAGATAATGGTACAGAATTATTGGGAGGGATACCGTGCTCTGAGAGTCCTATGGTTGCTATAATTAACAATACTGTCCTGTATATTTGAAATCTTAAAAATTCTCATAACAAGAAAAATGTAGGGTGCTAGATATTACTTTCTTGTGGTAATCATTTCACAATAAGTAAATTAAACTAGGAAAAAAGAGAAAGTTCTATAGTTGGAATGTTCTATGTTTAATCATTAATTGAATCATTAATTTGTTGTATTATTTTTTCTGTTCCAGAATTTTGACTCTTGGTTTTAAAAACAAAAATTCTCGTTCTCTAGTAAAATTCTCCAACTTATTCTTTCTTTTCTTTTTTTTTTTTTTAAGATTTTATTTATTTATTTGACAGAGAGAGACACAGTGAGAGAAGGAACACAAGCAGGGGGAGTGGGAGAGGGAGAAGCAGAAGCAGGCTTCCTGCTGAGCAGAGAGACTCATGTGGGGCTCGATCCCAGGATCCTGGGATCATGACCAGAGCTGAAGGCAGACGCTTAGCAACTGAACCACCCAGGTGCCCCTATTCTTTATTTTCTTAAACATAGTAGTCACAATTATTTTAAAATCGCCATTTGAAAACTTCAGTATCTGATTCTATGGGTCTGTTTCTATTATCTGTTTCTTTCTCCTTATTCACTTTATCCTGTTTTTAGGATGTCTTGTGATTCTTTTAAGTTTAATGCTAGACATTGTGGATGAGAATTTTAAAGGATCAGGTTAATGCAACATCTCTCCAACAAGTGTTAAATTTTCTTTGATTAGGCAAAAAGTATCACTTTGATTCATTAAGGCTTGGTTTTGAGCTTTGTTAGGGATAATCTACTTTAGTTTTGTGCCTTTTTCTAAAACATCATCCTTATTCCTAACACATGGGTCCTCTGTGTCTTCAACTAAAAGCTCAGTGTATTTACAAGGCCCCTACATTTTGGCAGAGCTTTAATTCCAATAATTGTCTTCCATGCCACTATGAAATTATATGTTCCCTTCCTTTGCATCTCAGCTGATATTTTATGCTGTGTTTCTTAGAGTTTTATCCTGCACATGCACAGATTAGAAATTAGCAGATATGTATGCAGATATTTGGATTCACTTCTCTCCTCTCTGAGATTTTACATCAAGCCCCAGCTATACTGACAGCTCTGAAGTCTGATGGCTATCTTCTCAACTCGGTTATACTCCCCCTTTCTACCTGTGCTCTATTCTCTAACACCACAAACGACCTCAGGCCAAAGGCAAGGTAAGTGGAGAGCTGACTCACAAGCTTCCCTTATTTCAAAGATTGTAGCCACTCACGTCAGGCCTACAATGGTTACTTTCCAATATCTTCAATAGCGTTTTTCTATATTTTGGGCAGCTTTAATAGTTGATTTTGGTGGGAGGATTTGTCCAATACAAGCTACTCAACTGGAGACAGACCAAAAGTCTTCAAGTTATTTTAAAATCTGTATCTGATAATTCTAACACCTGGCTCTCCTGTGGGTATGTTTTCACTGTTTACTTTTTTGCTAGTTCACATTCATTTTGTCTCTCTGTGTGCCTCACAATTATGAATTGCTTACTACACACTGTATTTGTGAAATTATTTGTAGAAATAATGTGAGTCTAGGATGATATAATTTTCTTTAAAGATTATTTTTCATTTGTTTTTGCTGGGCAACTAAAGCCAAAGCACTTAGAACAGTGACTGGCATGTGGAAAGTAGTTAATTTTCATTATTTCATGTTTACCTGCCCCACCCAGATTAAGGATCCTTTTTATGTTCCCAACATCAGTCCAGTTTGGTTTAAAGTCAATATTTAAAAAAAAAATAGTTGCTAAGTAAATGGCCTGAAGAGCTGAGTTGAGCTCTAAAAATGTGGTGAGACATATATATGAATCACGCACACATACACTGACACACAAAGTCATGAATATTTTTATAGAGAGGTAAAGTTATATGCAGTTTTTTAAAGAATGATACAGCATTTACCTTCAGGTAGGTTTGGTGTGCTTTGCCTCGGAGTACTTTCTACCTTTTCAGATTCTGCTACCTGAGTTTCTAGAAAAAAGAAAAAAATGAACCAACTTTTGGATTCCTGTGAAAATTTGTGTTAAGGGTATTGTTATTTCATTATAATTATTCATCTTTTAATGAATTTGTATTATACATGGAAATGTGTCCATGAAGGCATCCATCAGCATTGGCATTCTGCTTCTGGATTTCATCTAGATTACCTTCTGAATGATTGTTTATTCCCACTGCTCTTTTATATTGACTTTTCTGATCCTTTGAACGTCCTCATCTGGTTCCCACTACCACCATCAAGGTAAAGCATCCGGTTTGACCTTGGGAGACCTCCAAAGTCAGTATTTCTGCTACTGCATTCTGGCTCAAATATTGAATGTATGAGCCAAAAGTGATCCCATCATCCAAACTGCAAACACAAGGGATAACTACCCTTTGCTCTCATGCCATCTCTCTCCCTTGCTCTACTTGAGCTCATTATCACAAACCATGTTCAGAATGCATTTACCTAACAAAGACTGTCTTTGAGGTTTTCTTGGCAAAACTGGTGTTGGTATGGAGATGGGACCTGGAAAATGAGTAATACTTAGTACCACAGCAGTATCTTGTTTTAAATGTTTAGCCCACCATCTTCTTCCTTTAACAGGACTAGATCTTGTTATAGGGCTTGGCACAGTTGCTCTTGCACCTATCAGAGGTTGCCTAAAAGTGTAGGTAGATGCAGATAGAACTTCCTTGGGTTTGGGAGAAATAGCTGGGGAAGTAGTACTTGGAAGTCTGGAGAACTCTGAGGAGAAAATCACAATGTCTTTGAACATGTCACCAAAATAAATATTTTTTATTTTTGATGATTTTTCTTTTGATTTTCTTGACCTTTTCATTTGTCTTATTTCTTTCCCAAAAACACGACTTGAGGCTGAATGACAGGTTGGAAAAAATAAGGAACCAGTAGCAGTCTCTGGAATGTGCCAATACACATTCTTAGAAGTTTTTCTGGGTATTGAAATAGTAGTCACTCTTTCTTGTATATAATGATCAAGAAAGAGATTTTGGATATTGACAAGGGTTTGTGGTTGACTTCTTGAAACATCAGGAAAACTAGTTTTCTTTCTTTCAATTGAAGTGGTTTCATCTTGAATGAACGTTACATGTTTTGGCTCAGTTTTACCAGTCTTGGCTAAACCAGAAAGAAAAGAAAACACAATTAGTTTATATTTTTCAAGGTATCAGGGACAAAACTATTAATGTGTTAGCATTCATAGCTTTTCTTTATTTACTCACCCCTCTTTCACCTTCTAAAATTTTCTGTATGTTTGCTCAGCTATCAGGACTTTTGTTTAGCTGACTGGGATAAAGTTTGAGTTATCAACTGGAGAAGTGGAAAGACTAAATTGTATTAGGTTTAGAAAGGGTAGGGAGAAACTCTTGGAAGAACAGAATTGATAGAATAATAGGACATAAAGGGAGGTGTTTTTTTGTTTGTTTTGTTTTGTTTTTGAGCAGTTACTACTAAAACTGAAGTATGGGTAGGCAAAAATGATCTGGATGAAGTTTTGCTATTTATCTATCTCTTCCTCATTTGAAACTTCTTCAAGCAAAGACATTTCTTTTCAATGCCAAATGGCGGACCAATGTCCAAACACTATAACATCCTGATATTGGCTACAACGTACTACAAGTTCAGTTAGGTTACAATGGTAAATGTTCTTTTCTCTCTTAGGTCCAGAAAATGCACTGTGCCTGCATTCTTCAGTACCTTACTACACAAATATGCTTTCTCTCTCCTTTGTGACTGAATGTGAAATGACTTTTCTTCCATTGTCTCAGTTGAGTACAATAAATGATGAGGACCTCTACATTAAGGCAAGGCTTGGAAAGAGATGGCCAAAACAAGTCCAACTCTCACCCTTTTAAGAGATGGCTGAAGACTGGCCCGAATTCAGAGAGAGGAATTCCTCTGAATAGCACTATTGGGGTGGTATGTGTTTTCCTGAACTTCCCCTCCCTGAGGAGGGTGGATTAGGATGATTTTTCCCCCACCTCAAGCCATGTGAGGGGAATTCTCAGAGAAGCATTTATAGAAAAAGAGGAGTGTATGCCACAAGGAGAATATAACATCTTACCACTCCCCTACTCACACCCCCCACTAATACAGCCCTTCCAGGGCTGTGTTCCAGTTGGAGCAAGGCAAGAGGGTCCTTGAAACTACTTGATCTGTATCTTGTGGGATTTCAGGGGGTGCTGAGACTGATGTGTGATTCTTACCTTCATTCCTTAACTCTTCCCCACCCCTAACCCCACCTATGCAGGAGCAGAAACTATCAGTTGTGGAAAAGAAGTAAAGAACAAGATGGAAGAACTTATTATGACCCTGTTTCCTTTGACTTGTCTACAAATTAGCAGACCCAGTCTGAGCTGGGAGAAGGGGCAAGGTTTGAGCACATGCTTGTTAAAAGTAATGATTTAGGTTGAACTATTTGTTTAATATCTGAAAATGAAACCAGGCTCATAGAGGACAGTGATGAGAAAATCCTGGGAAGAGAGATCGGTGCCATATGAGTGTGAAGGGCAGTAGTAGGAAGAGAAGAATGTTTCCTTCCTCCTTATATAAAACTAATAAAAAATAGCTCATTCAATAAAATGGTTATACCACTATCTTCACCTTTTTTCCCCTCTCTCCCATATTAAAACAAACATGGTAACACAAGCAAAATCCTCAACAAACTCCAGACCTCCACCACCATCTCACCATAGTTATCCTTCCCTTCAATGGCAAACTGAAGTAATTTACACTCAGTTTGATTTCTTTTCTTCTCCTCTCTGTTGTTTCACTTTATTTAATCTAACTTTTAATTAAATTAATGGACTTTATTTTTAGAACAGTTTTAGATTAAAAAAAAAAACTTGAGCAAGAAGACAGTTCCCATACATTCCCCTCCCTTGCACACAGTTTTATCTATTATTAACATCTTGCATTAGTGTAGTACATTTATTATAATTGATGAACGAATGTTGACATGCAATTAATTAGAGTCCATAGTTTATATTAGGGTTCATTCTCTGTGTTGTTCAGTTCCATGGATTTTGACAAATGAGTCATGTCATGCATTCACTATTACAGTATCCTAAAAAATAATTGCACGACCTTAAAATTCCCTGTGCTTCACCTGTTCAACACTTCTCCTCTCCCTGAACAAACTTCTGGCAACCACTTATATATTTTTTATTGTGTTATTATTTTGCCTTTTGGATACTTCAGAAAATTCATGTTGAGGGTGGTATGATAGTTATTAGTCTTTTAATGAATTCGTATCATTCACAGAAATGTGCCCGTGAAGGCATCCATCAGCATTGGCATTCTGCTTCTAGAGTTCATCTAGATTCCCCTCTGAATGATTGACTATGGTACCTAGTCTTCTCCTTTTCTAGTTTCCCAGGGTAAAAGCTTAGAGTATTTGTTTTAGATTAATCTTCTTTTCCTAATATATGCATTCAAGGCTCTACATACCCTCTAAGCCCTACTTTTGCTGTGTACCACACATTTTGATAGGTTGTATTTTTATTTTCATTTAGTTCAAACAATTTTAAAATATCTCTGTGACTTCTTTGACCCATGTCCTAGCTAAGTGTGTTGTATAATCTCCAAATATTTTGGGACTTCCACATATCTTTCAGTTATTGATTTTTAGTTTAACTCTATTGTGTTCTGAGAGCAAATAGTGTAAAATATCTGTTCTTTGGAAGTGTGTTTTATGGCTCAGAATGTGGTCTGGCTTGATGAGTGTCTTATAGGAGTTTGGGAAGATGTTTTCTGCTGTTGTTAGATGAAGACAATTGGATCCTATTGATTGTTGGTACTATTCGGTTCAACTATATCCTTACTAGTTTTCCACCTGCAAATCTATTACTAACAAGGAATGTAGAATTCTTATACTATAATAGTGGAGTTATCTATTTCTCCTAACAATTCTAGCAGTTTTTGCCTCAGATATTTTAACTCCCTCTTTTGGATACATGTCAAAGATTATTATGTCTTCTTAAAGAATTGACCCTTTTATAATTAAGAATTGCCTCTATTTATCCCAAATAATTTTTATTGTTCTGAATGTGCTCTGTCTGAAATTAATATAGCTTTTTCAGCTTTTTAAAAAATTAGTGTTAGTACAGTATGTCTTTCTTTGCACCTTTACTTTTAACCTAAAGGAAGTTATACTTAAAGTAAGTTTCTTATAGACAACAGAGAGTTGGGTCTTGTTTATCTGCTATAACAGTTTGTCTTTTAATTGGTATACTTAGACCATTAATTTGTAATGAATTATGGACATTATTGGCTTAATGTCTGCCACATTTATAAAGTTTTCCATTCTTTACTATTGTTTTGCTGCTGCTGCTGCTTTTTTTTAATCTTCCCTTCCTTTTCTTCTTTTTCTGGTTTCAACTGAGCATTTTATGATTCAGTTTCTCAGTTTCTCTCTTAGCATATCAATTGGACTTCTTTTAAAAAAATTTTAAGTGGTTTCCCTGAAGTTTGTGATATACACTGATAATTCATCTGATTCTACTTTCTTTTATTTTTAGTTGATATATACTTTATTGATTGGTATTCGTACTTTAAATTTCAGCTATCTTGATACGCAAAAAAACAAGACAACCTAAGTTTGATGTGCTGCATTTAGAAAGGATATTTAATTTATAATAAAAGTTTCTTTTATTGTCCTTTCAGAGTGTCCTCCCATTTACTTTTCAAACCATTATGACTTGGAACTTCCCACTTCTACTACCAAAGCTGTTATCACAAAGTTATTGATGTCTGGTTGCTAAACCTAATGGATACACATTATTACTATTTGACCTCTTTTTAGCATTTGATACTTTAATCTACTCTCTACTCCATGAAATTCGCTCTTTCCTTGGCTCTCATGAGGACACCATCATTTCTCCATTAATGCCACCTGGCTATTCACCTTTCTCTAGACAAATCTTTCTTTCCAAATTACCATTTAATATTCCCAAAAGTTCTATCATTATCCCTCTGACTTTATCTGACTTTAACTAATTTTCCATATACAGTAATTCTAAGTCTGGGTCTGGAAGCCCTAAGCACCTCAAATGTCTCATGTTTACTCATCAACAGTTTCTGTTCTTCATCTCATCGAGGTACATCTGTTATCTCGTCACACACATGTGCATACACACACACCACACACACACACACACTGGAATCCTGGATTCTTGAATTCTTCTTGTAATTAGCTTCCTCTAGCTGCTGTAACAAATTACCACAAACTTGGTGGCTTAAAGCAACAGAAATCGACTCTCTCACACTTCTGGGGGCCAGAAGCCAAAATTATACCACTGAGCCAAAAATTCAGGTGTCAGCATGGCCGTGTTCTCTCTGGATTCTCTTATGGAGAATCCATTCCTTGCCTCTTCCAGCTTCTGGTGGCTGCTAGCACTCTGTGGTTTGTGGCCACATCATGCTTATCCTCAAGGCCAGCATCTTCAAATCTCTCTTTGCTCCATCTTCATATCATCTTCTTCTTTGTGTGCGTAATCTCCCTCTGCCTCTCTCTTATAAGGATACATGTGATTGCATTTTGGGCCCACCTGGCTAATCTAAAATAATCTTTCATCACAAGATTCTTAACCTGATTCTATCTGTAACCCCATATAACTTTTTTTCCATATAAGATAACTGTAGAGATTAGGATATTGTTATCTTCTTATGGGGTTACTTTTCAGTCCACATACTTCCAATTCCTCAGTCCTCACATATAACACACCCAATGAATCACCTCCAGGCTATACTCAAATTATATATGTCAGCTCCAAAGCTTCTAATTCTCTGCTTCTTTTCCTCCCCCACTCCACTCCCCTCTCCTTTTCTATCAGGAGAATCAAAGAGGAAGTGAGCTATTGTTCTGAAGGATTCATGCCCCATGTCCTCTGTTTTACAGTGGAGAAAAGGATTGAAAAATCATTGACCTAATTAAGCTCTGCTGTTTCAGAATAGAAATAAGACCCACCAACTGAATGACTTCCCAAAGCCATGCATCATATCAGTGTTGGAACTAAGACCAGCACTCAGATCCCTGGACTCCCACTCTAGGGCCTTTTGCACTTTCCAAGTTGCTGCAAGTCAGTAAACAATTGCAGGCCGAGTAAGAAGTATTACAAGTAGTGTAATGTCTCACAACTACACAATGATTTTAAAGTTTATGAAGTGCCTTCACACAGGGTCTTGCATTTTAAACTTCTTCTCTTGCAGTTAAGTGATATTTTTTTAAAAACCCAGATTTTCCCTTCTAATTTTCACTTTCATCATCCTACTTGACATCAATTTAACTTCAACCTTGATTTTCTGACATAGCCTGATAACATTTCCATCAAATTATCTGAGTCTTATCAGTGATAACTCAGATTCCTTAGTTTGGTGAATAAAACCTATGTGAATTGGATCCACTTCACCTAACCTTGCTGGGTAATAACTCATTAACTTCTAGTGGAAACCTCCAGATACTCTAATTATTACTGACAACCACAAAGCCCACCCTACTCATGTGTAATTTCATTTCTTAGGTTGATCACACCGTGTGAAATACCTTCTCTTATGAACCAACTGAAATCATTTTCTTCTTTCAAAGTCTACATTAAGCCTTATTCAATCCGTTTTTCCTGATTAATATAGCCCACACTTAACCGTTTTCATTCATTACATAAACATTTAGCACATGCCATGTGCCAGCTGTACACAGTGCTGAGGGTACAACCACCTAGCACAGACCTTACTACCAGCAAACATCTCACAAATTAGTATAGAAACTAGGCAGGTAAACAGTTACACTAGAGGGGGCACCTGAACCGCTCAGCAGGTTAAGCATCTGCCTTTGGCTCAGGTCATGATATCAGAGTCCTGGGATCAAGTCCCACATCTGGTTCCCTGCTCAGTGGGCAGTCTGCTTCTTCCTCTTCCTCTTCCTCTGCCCCTCCCCCTGCTTGTGTGCTCTCTCTCTCAAATAAATAAATAAAATCTAAACAACAACAACAACAACAAATCAAACCGAACCAACCAACCAACCAAACAAAACCAAAAGAGTTACACCAGAGAATAAGTCCTTGGTGGGGTAATGGTAGAATACTACGTGAGCATAAAGGAAGGTACTCTGATTTGAGGAGGGAAGAGATGCTTAGGGAAATCCTCCCAGTGAAGATGCTATCTGTCTTTTCAATTCTGTACTTCCCAAGTTTTTGATACATTTCCCCATGATTTCTTTTTTTTTTCCTAACATATTAAATTTCTACTTTTCTAAAAGACTCCTCTGCCATCAGAAATTATACAGATCTCCTCTATAAAACATATTTCATTCCACTTCTACTAATTCCTCAAGTCTTAGTTCAAGCCCCATTCCTGCCCCAGTACTCTCTCCTATCTATGAACTACTGTCTGTACCATTAATTGGGCATAAATTCTATGCTGCCTTATACTGTTATTTAAGGTTCTGATTTTATGTGTAACTCATCTCTAGAACTTGATTAAAGGTCTTAAAATGTCCTAAAAGACTTGTACCAGATCATTCAGGTTATTAATTCCCTACAGTATCTAGAATCATATGCAAATTATAGATATTTATTTCAGGGTTTTATTTCAAATGTGTTGAATATTCATTTTTATAAACTGTACTTGAGTCATTTTAAGTATTAATGAACAAATATTTTAAACACCTATTACACGCAAAGTCCTCCACCAAAAGCCTTCAGAAACATGGGATTAGTAACGGCCAAGGTCATAGAACCTCTGAGTTGACAAAAAGCAGGAGAGGCCCCCCCACCCCCCAAAAAGAATTAGTCAGTCCTGTACTCAACAGATAAACCTCAACTAAAAGATGAATGAAAAAACTACAACAAAAGAACTGGTGGTGAGCAGTAAATCCACATAAATGTGTGGGTATTATTTTTATAGAACAGGTTGTAAATGTAGAAATGTAGAACACCTAAAGAAATGTAGAAAGAACATAACAAAAGTTGAAAGGGACAGTGGGATAGGAGATTGGAGGTAGTATAGGCATGTTGATTTATACATCTTTAATAGCCTCATTCAAAGGTAGTAATTTAACATTGTAAATCAAGTTACGGACTAGATATATTTTAACAGTATAAATGTTGACACTAAAATAAGGAAATATGTTATAAAATAATGAACACAATCAATGAAAATCAGGTGGTTGAGGAGACTGAAAAGGGGAAAGAAGTGGAAATATGCTACTTTTATCATTGCTGTAAGTAAGGAGTCAATATACCGCACACGGAAGTACAGGATTATGGGTATATTATATAGAGTGATAGTTATTCAAGTGGCTTGTCTTCACCTCATAGCACTTATCACAGGGTAATTTTACATTTACTTACATGATTATTTGATGCAACCAGAGGGTAATCAATGAAGAGGATGGACAGTGTCTCTTTCGCTCACTATTACACCCTCAATTCCTAGCACTGTGCTCAAAAGTATGGTCAATTCTTGTTATTTCTGACTGTTCTGTTCTATAAAAATCTCAGTGAACACTGAATTATCCAACACTGAGCCGTTGCTTCTAGGAAAAATCCAGTGTTAGGTTCTTCTAGGTCTCTGCTCTCAACAGTATCAGCAACCAATCACTACACAATCTTCTTTTATACGTGTTTCTATTTAAAGACACTTTAAAGATTTTATTTATTTATTTTTGACACACAGAGAGAGAGAGAGCAAGAGAGGGAATACAAGCAGGGGAGTGGGAGAGGAAGAAGCAGGCCTCCCGCTGAGCAAGGAGCCTGATGTGGGGCTTGATCCCAGGAACCCGGGATCATGACCTGAGCCGAAGGCAGATGCTTAACCACTGAGCCACCCAGGCGCCCCTAAAGACACTTTAATATATATTGTTGATTCATTAATATTGAACAGACAGCCAACAACACTGCAGCTTATGCCTGAAGGCAGCTTAGCCAATATATATGTTTTTTGTCTTTAAGGCACAGGCTTTCTTTGTGCTTAGGAACACAAGACAGCACTATGCCCCAGGGGGCTCTTTTAGACAGCAAAATCACCAACAAAAAGCACAAAAATTTTAAAAACGGGCACTGAGAAAAGATTGAAAACAGACTGAGCAAGGGGCTGTTGTTTACAGTATGAGAACTGAAATAAGAAGGCAGAGCGTATCCCTTGTTGGATGTCCACTGGGAGCGTGTGTTTTCACCATCCTGGTCATAAGGACCAAGAGTCACCCTATATACTGCTCTCCTGCATACAGTTCACCTATTATAAAAGGAGAAAGAGCTCTCTCTACGGCTCTGAAGTATTCTGCATACCATTGAGTTAAAAAGACAAACTACAGGGGCACCTGGGTGGCTCAGTTGTTTGGGTACCTGCCTTTGGCTCAGGTCGTGATCTCAAGGTTGTGGGATCAAGTCCCCTATCAAGGCTCCTTGTTCAGCAGGGAGGCTGCTTCTCCCTCCATCTCTCCTTGCTTGTGCTCTCTCTTCCTCTTTCTCTCTCTGACAAATAAATAAAATTACAAAATGGTGAAGTACAGCACAGGGTACTGCTTTGGGGGTCAGAAATAATTTTAGCAGTTAGGTAAATTTGCACCTATGGAATCCACGAACAATGAGGATCAACGGTAATTGTAGAATTGAATTGGATGTTATCATCTCACAACAAACATTTGTAAGTTACTGGTTATTAGTGGGTGTCTCTTTTACTATTGTGATTCTGAACTGTGCAAGTTAAGGAATTTCTATGAAAACTAAATAAACTTAATAACATGTCTGACTAATACACATACCTGTATGGACTTTCTTCTTACTTAAAGGCAGCTTAGGGAATTTTGGAGGTAAAGGTCTTCGAAGTAGTTGTGGGTGCTCTTGCATTTTAATGAACAATAAGCACTGTTTTTCACAGCTATTAATTGAGAGTTGCAAACGTTTTGATTATGCTTGAACTGTTGCTGAAAAATCATTCATTACAGTCTAGATTACATCTTAGTGAAAATCATTCTGTGCTAATATCGTACTGAGTCCAAGCAGAATTCCTTATAAAAGAGAGGATAAGAAAGAAAATTCTTTAAAACTTCTAGAAAGAATCTAGATAAAATTTAGGTTTACAATTCACACAGAATCTTAACATACATATACTATTACCAATCAGGATCATTCTAAAATTTCCCACGTTAGCAAAAATATTCAGTCTGCCAGTATTATATCATCTAGTAAATACTGATTTTCCAGAGCAGTAGAAACAACACTCATTTTTTTCCTCTACCTTCAAAATGTTATCACTTCACATATTCGGAAAAAGATTTGGTCAAAAAGATAAGGAAGTCCCTCCATGACAGCCTCTTAAGACCCACAATACCTAACCATTCACAAATAAGTTGTTTTCTTTCTGTAATAACGACTTGTTATAAACTGCAACCACTACTAGTTGGGTTATACTATTTAATCAAAAAATAAGATGATCTTCAATCTAGTTAGATTTTCCAGGATCTCTATTCCAATTAGTACTATTTAGAAATGATGCCAGAAGATGGACCCCCAAAACATGACCTTAGTTTTCAGGGCAGCATCAAAGTGCCTGACCCATCACTCTTCCGTTGACAGTCCAGAAGGGAATGCACTGGAGCTGCATAAATAGGCCGTTTTATCCCTAATAGATAACTTTGCACACAAGGGCTCAAGGTATTATCCCTGTTAGTACGTCCACTCGATGCTGGTAATTTTCCTCCCATATTATCGGAAAATACCGTTCCATCCTTTAAGGCAATCAGCTGCTTCTCAAAATAACTGGCTTTTCCTCTTTCCTCTTTGCCTCGGAATTTAGGCAGCAAGGTAATGGTCAATGGAGGTGGCGGGTCTTCCCGCGGGAAGCACCTAGGTTACCCTCGTCCCCTGGCAAAGCGGACAGAGGCCAGGGCGACTGGCCCTAGCAACCGGAAGCGATAATACCGCCCTGGCCGCCCGACTCGCAGGCGCTAGAGAGGAGGGCGGGGCCGGGCGGGGCCGGGCGGGGCGCGTGCCCGAGGAGCCTCGGGGAGCGGGTCCCGCCGCTCGGCTCGGCTCCGTGCGCGCGGAGCCCACTGGCCTTTCTCGGCCGTGGCGTCCGGCTGCCGGGAGGCTGCGCGCGGTGGGGGCTGGAGGAGAAGTCCGCTCCGTGTGCACCTGCTGTACGGAACCCCGTGGTGACAATCGTTATTACTATTTTCATTCTTAATGACAATGACCACTCTTACTTATTTACTCTTCTGGATTACACGACTTATCTAGGGGCTGGGCTGGCCGTCTTTAATGCTGCCCTTGGGAGCAGCCGGGTCCCGTTGCTGATTTTGTAGTACCCCCCCCCCCCCCCGAAAAGCGAACGCTCTTGTTTTCTTTCTGTTCATTTCATGCAAATTGTTTTCTCTTTCTGATCCTTTCAAGTTCCTGGATGAAGAGAAACTGAGTAGCAATAGGGACATGAAGGGTCCAAACGGGTTTTAAAAGAACCCCGTTTCTCACTGTTAACGGTGATGTGATTATCATAGTATGGCTTGTCTTCTCTGTCATGGTGTTGATAAACCTGGACATACAGTGGTCCGTACATCGTCTGTGTTTGCATGTGTGTGCGTGTGTCTCTGAAGATTTGAGGGAGAACGAGTGTGAGAGAACTCATCAGGTAGGTGTGTAAATCCCAGCTCAGAAAGTAAAGCAGATGGAGCTTCCTCCCAGTCTCATTTTTCCCCCTTAAGTGCAAGTGTAGGAACTTTAGGAACAGGTGTTGGAAGATGAGAGACTTCTGCATAAATCTGCCCAGCTTTGGGGATCTTTTAAGATTTAGTCCCTAACCAAGTCCTCCTTTTTTTTCTCCTTAGGAGCAAGCATATATTTTAAAGCAGTTAATGAAAAAAGTGGAAAAGTAAAAAAGTAATTCATCAGACTCTGGGAAATAGCAGCTTGTTTTTCTTTAGAGTATTATTAGCACGTGGTTTCTTTTTCTTTGTGGGATTACTGAGTCCCAATGAAACTGTGGCGGCTGGCGTGGATTTATATCACTTTTGCCCGTGTCTACTCCGTAGTTTGATTAGCCTCTCAGAAAAACAAAGTTGACAGCAATAGGCAGATATGATTGCTAGGTTTTGTCTCAAATAATATTTGTTGTGCATATTTTGTAAGCGTGAAAAGTGTTTATGTTTTTAGGCATAAAAATGTATATTTTATATACTTAATCTGTGTTTCAATATTTAAATTGAGTCAGGTTCTTGTGTTCTCAAAAGTTGTTGGAACCATGAGAACTACTGAGATGTACTTTTACTGAACAATGCTTGGCCTTTAAAATTTTTGCTTAGTGACTCATGGTCACAATCAAGGCAATGTCCTTATCAATAATTTAAGGAAAAAAATGCTTTGTCATATATGAAATCAGGTACCAGACTTCATTTCCTGCAGATCTCTTCTAGCAAGTATCTACAGACAGAACCTTGGGCTGTTTAATATGGAAACGATGTACAAATGTAGACTGGATTTAGAAAACACAAATCACATTCAATTTGGATTATTTTAGTATTTTTATTTCACTTATTAATTTTTTTTTTACTATTTTTGAAAATGTTATTACCTCATTTTTTTTTTTTCCTTTAAAAAAAAAACACACATGTCTCTTTAAGGACTAAAGCTCCATCTTTGACTTTAAGGGTCTGTTTTACCTGTTGTACAGTATGGTCAGCCTATTTATTTGTCCCATTAGCTTTGCAGTTTTGGCAGAACCATGTGATGAAGCTTGTGAAACTAAACCACAACACTTTGGCTCTTTTAGCAGATTGTATTAAGGAAGCCAGAGCAATGGTGAGCCAAGGTTATACACATCCTGTGTTTTTGTGCTTTTTTTTTTAATGTTGCTAAAAATGAGATAAAAGTTTATGCAAAAGCAACCTTAGGCACCCTGAAGTTAATGCTATTGATTTTTCTAATGCTTGGGGAATACTTGGGGAATCTCAGATTTGCCTGTTAGGTGAGAGGACACAGCTCTGCTAGAAAGGTGTCGAAATTGTTGCTAGAAATCTTTACTATTTTCCATATACCTCTCTCCTCTTTCCTTTTAAACATAACAGGTTTACTGAATTGTTTCATTAGTGTAGATTTAATCTAACATTTTACCATGTGGAAATAACTGCAGTAATTTGTATTTTTATGCTCATATTAGTTTTTTTGGAGGTTCTTTTTAAAAACGAAGAGTTATTTTTGTGTGCATGTTGGTTAAACTGTTGAGTCCCTACAGTAACCCAGAGCACCACAGCGCTTTTGAGAAAGAGGTATTTACTTGGTCTGAATTTATTCAATTCTATATACAGTACCAGGAAACGTCTTACTCTTCACCAGTCACAGTGGCTTAAATTTATAGATTTTTTTTGTGTGTTTTCATGCTACATAAAGAACAGTTTTATATTTTTCTTAAATGTTAATAAAGATATTTTGAAGCTGCTTTTCTTTTTATCTCTCATATCTGAAAGCTTCATTTCTGTTCTTAATTATTTTAATTATTTCTGGCCCGTTATTTAGTTACTTCTTTTTGTCTTTCAGGATGGTAGTTATTTCCTTTCCTTTGTTTGAAGTAGAGATTCATCCTGAGATTCATTTAAAAAAAAATTTACTAAGGAAATGATTTAAAAATTGTTAATAAGAAAATATCATGCAACCTGCATCATAGAATTTAAAAAAAAATCTTTAAAAAAAATCTTAAAAAAAATCCTAAACATAATGAAAGGACAGTGTCTGTTTTTAAAAGCATATTCATGGATTTACTCATTCATTCCAAAGAGATTTATTGGAAACCTACTATGCATAAGATACTTTGGAGATGCTAAACTGTAAGCTTTATTAAACAACTTATAATGATTCATTTGAGAATATATAATTTTAGACAGTGAAATGAAATTTTAAATCATTTTCAAAGGCTTTACTTATCTATTAAGTACTTGAGGTTTTTAAAATTTTTTTTAACTTTTTTTTGTTTTGTTGTTTGGGTAGAATAGTGTTATTTATTTACACTACCCCGAATACTTGAAAATAGTTGTGTATTTCCTTTGCTTCAGTGATGGTTTTAGACAGCTTATCTGTACCTGGGAGATATTAGATATCTATGTATATTGTGTGACTGTATCCTTCACCAAAAAAGGTAAAAAAAATATTTGTTTCCTTTATGTTAGGTTGACTAAGCAACCTTGCCTTTGGTGCTGTGAATGATGAAATGTCAATGTTGGTTACTTACTCTGTGGGAAGGCACTGTTCTTAGCTTTGATTTTGTTTTATCTTACTCCAGAATTATCATGCTAATTGCACATTCTCATATCTGCATCAAATTTCAATCAAAGGCCAGGTAACATAGCTCAGCTCCTTAGGGTTCAAATCCCTGGCTGCCCTTTCTTAGTTTTCTGCCCTTGGGCCAGCTGCTGAGCCTAAGCCCCTTTGGTTTCCTCACCTGTAAACCTGGGGTAAAATGGGACCTAACTCAGGGTATTGTGAAGATCTAAAGCAATAATCTGTGTCTAGGACTTAGTTTTGTGCTACGTACAATGAGTCCTCATTAGATGCTAATTGTTAGGAAACAAATGGCCCAGGTGTCCTGTCTGCATTGTCCCTGCTTTATGTGATAATAGTTGATGATTGGTGAATCCTGGGCATTTAGTCATAAAATATAGCACCTAGTTGGCTACCATTTCGGGCATGGCAGAGAACCACCTGCGGCTCTCACATTGTAAAACAGATGTGTGCTGTAGGCTGGTTCCTCCGTTCTGTCACATAGATCTTTATGCCCCTCTGGGCTACAGAGGACCTGTGGGACAGCTTGTACCTGAAAGTGTCCAAGTCAGTGATGTAAGTAAGAAGACCTCGATTCGTCCTCCACGTGAGTCGAGTCTAGGAGCTGCTGTCCCCATTGATTGCATTGGACCATATCCATGGGGAATCTCAACCAGTGACCCAAGGATGA